GGTGGCATATTTAATCAAGAGGAAGAGGAACATTAACAGATATTAATTATGTAAATTGTGACCCAATTTGATTAATCGATAAAAGAAATCTAAATGTCTTTTATACTGCACTAGACCTTTTTGGTTCCCACCCTCTGCGGATTACATTGACTTATGCAAACAAGGATAGCTGGAAAAAAATTCCTGTTTGTTGAAACAACAGATCCCTTGCAAAATTGGCGAAGTGGGAGGTCCGTACGTTGCTGTAGTGGGCTTTTGGTGATTGTTGGTTAGTTTGTCAGTAGTTCAAGTTGTGGAAAAGCAATGTCTTGTTTTTTTTATTGTGGATAGGTCAAGGGGTTTAGATTGAGGGTTTCAAGTTTGGAGTCTCTAGTAGGTAGTGGGTAAGTGCAATGGGACATTTTGTGAGAACATTTTCATAAGTGCAGGCCAGGTTTTGCTCCTTCTCGATCGTTTTATGTAACGTTACTACGAATGTAGGTTAAAATAACAATTTACAGGCAGGGAGCTGTCAACCGTGGAAAAATATTCTAACAGTTGTTTGTTGAAATAACATCACCTGTCAACAACTTGCATGCTTAACCGCTGCTAATTGACACCTCTGTGTCCTCAGAGTGCGGCACATCTGGCCTTGGGGTATTTCCTGCAAAGTTGGCCTCGAAACATTCATGCATTTGTGTTATTTGTGCATACGGTATGTTACTATGATGCAAACATGATTTGAACCACATCACAAATTTTGTTTCTATCGGGCAAAAAGACTGTATACTGTACGATCTAGTATGAAAAAATAACTTGGCATGACCTGGGTGAAAGGGCAGGTTTGAAACTTTCTTGGGCCATCAGAAGAAAGTCGTGTTAGCTGAGAACTCATGCATAATCGGGCGTACGTAAGGAAAAACACTTTGGGTAGGATTGTACTAGGAGTCTTCCTATGGGTCATGTGGAGGTGAAATTGAGAAGTCAACATTGGAAGGCTAGGGTAAAATGTACACCATATGGGCTACCAAACAGTACGGATATAGCCAAACAGTATCCCCGAACCAAACGGACATAGCCAAACAGTATCCCCGACTTGAGGTATAACCGGCAACTAAAGGATCTACTCGATCGTGGAAAATGTTACGTTTCAACAAGAAGACATTTATTCCAATATTCAGGTTAAATTGCAGTGACAGGAAAGGCGTGTTGGGTAGGTCACCCGAGGCTGACCTAGCACTGCCAGGTATACCCCTGGGGCCTCCCTGGAGGACAGGCCGGTGGTGTTCCGCAGTAATACAAAGTCCAGCGCTGTTGTGGGCTAAAACTCTGAGACGTATGAACGGCGGCGCCAGGCTACTCCCCGCTCAGCGCCAGTATACTGCTTTCCAAATTTATGGTGTTACATCCCGATTTTTCTAGATAATTTCGCAAAAAATTGTTTAAAAAATTCCTGATTTCCGGGCTGAGTGGCGTCCATTTTGCCATGGTAAAGTCCTAGACATGGTACAGGCTAGGTAAATAGTATGTTGCTTCGTTCACAAAAGGACTCTCTGACCACTATAACTACGATAATCATCTTCAAAAAACCTACACTATACACACACACAACACCCTCCAAAACAATATCTGTCGAAGGCATGAGTCCTCCGAACTCTAGTTGTTGCTGTTTTTAATTGGTTCTGAAAAGTTTCCGCCCTATTTCTTGAGACGATGCTTCATTATTTTCATCGAGTGCGGTTTCTGCTCATCACCTTTGTACATCAATTGTTTAAAAAATGTACGGAAATACCAACATGATGATATTTTCCTCATGCAGTTGCAAAGAAGTAGACGAAGACCACCCAATGCCAGCCTACAAGAAAAACGTCGTCTTCTGGGACTGTGCCGGATTTCCTGATGCCACCGATAAAGTGTACTCTACGATCGTCTCACTGGCACTTGACAGTCGCATACCATCCGGCACCAACGTGATCGAATGCATGAATCAAACCCCGGATGAGCTCAGAAAAAGGTTCGCACGAGTAGATCGCAACATGACGTTTGATCGGATCGTATTCATCTTGTCCGCAGCAAGTGAGGAAATTCCCGGTTACCTGGTGGAAGCAATCAAGACAGGAGCACAGCAAGGGCATGGTAAATATTGTCTTTTTTCCTTAGGCCATCAGCTCCAATAGCATTATGCAACCCTAGGCACAAGTAGCTTTGATTCTCTTTTATTTATGTATAACTTATTGAATCGGTGTCGTATAAGCCCACACGGGCTGGGCGCGGGATAGCGCACGACACGGAAATAAAGTCTCATTCATTCATTCATTCATTCATTCATTCATTCATTCATTCATTCATTCATTCATTCATTCATTCATTCATTCATTCATTCATTCATTCATTCATTCATTCATTCATTCATTCATTCATTCATTCATTACCAAAA